AGAAACAAAGTAGTGTTTATATAATTTATTTTCATAAAATATACGTACAGGTAATATCAGAAGATAGTCACAGTTTATGATTGCTGCTGACATAAGATTTTCATAAGTTTAGAAAGATTTATAAATATATTGACGAATAAAAAAAAAAAGAAATACGTGAATTATTTAAAATATAAAGTGCTTACAAAAATACTAATGAACTACTACTAGTACAGTAACGTAAACTTAAAATGATATGACTATCGAATATCAAACAGCATTAAGAAAACATTTTATATTTCGAAGTATATCCATTTCGTTTACTGCTGGCTCGTTACGGAAGAAAGCAACATTCGATAAAACAAGTTTCAAGTAGTAGTCTTGTTCTAGAATCAACAAACGATGAATTTCAGATTGACAAAGATGCGACGCAACGTCAGAATGTCACAAGATCTAGTGCAGGTATGATTTTGAAGAACTCACGGACACGATTTTGCTGGAAACTGGTCTGAGTCTGTTTAAAAGCCGCGTTGGATTGACAGTCCGCAGATGGGAAAGCTGGTGCTCTGTGTGCACGGTGCGGTAGTCTAACGTTTATCATCGACAACGAGACGAAAGTTGGTTTAGACTAACGAGCAGCGATCGACTAAGAGAGGACGAGAGAGCGTCGGCGCCGTTACAATGCGACGCAGTCGCAATTCGACCAACCACCGGACGACGTAAGGGCGGAAAATGAACGAAAAGTGAGAAGGAGAGAGCACACCGCTCCCGAAGCAGATGACGTCGGACCTGGCAGCATTCACCCTCGGCAGTGTCGTCGCGATCGTACGCGGCTAGATTCTCTATCGGTGATAGCGGTGCGAGATTCATTTGAGAAGCCTCCGGGAAACTCTGGGAAATTCCAGGAATTGGAAATCGGTACATCGATTTTCCTTGGTAACCAGCATCTTTCATTAACAAATATTCCTCTCTCTTTCTCTCTCTCTCTCTGTCTCTCTGTCTCTCTCTCTCTCTCTCTCTGTCTCTCTCTCTCTCTCTCTCTCCCTCGCCCTCTTTTCTCTCCCGATCGTGTGTGTGTTGTATATATGTTTCGTTTTGATCGCCGTTTCAGCGCACGGAAGATCTCTACGTACTTGTGTTCATATTTAATAACGGGTAATGGGACTCAAAGGAAAAGTGGAAGCAGTGGGCGTTACGAACTGTGAACCACCTGTGAATCGATCTATGAAGAATAATCGACGATTGTTTACTGGTCTCCTTCCGCTTTGTTTCCCGCCCTTGTTTTCCCTACGTTTCGAGTAACTATCGACAGAAAGTCGTAAGTCGAAAAGATTTCGCAGGGCCACTAACTTAGCAATCTATTTCTTCATTGAAACCTGTTTATACCTGAATGATACCACTGCAATATGGCAAGTAACATCATCAGAAAACTAACTATTTTATAGCTTTATAATATTTTATAATATTTATTTGAAAGATCTCGTTCAAGTATTTGCAACATGGCTTTTTGATTAAAACAATCAATTTTTGGTTCGTCACTACGTTACGAAACGTAGCACGGAACATTATATACATATATACGTGATTTTCCTAGAAATTTTAATACTCTTGAATTTCTATCGTCGTAACTCAAAATAGATCTAGTAATTTATTTTCCATTCGAGAGATTCTATGCTGAGAGAAATTACGCGACAAACATGTTGCATTGGTTGTAATTAATGCAGAATAATCGAAGAACGCTTTCAATTTAGTCAATTTTCATGTGTGTAGTTACTAGGATTAATTAGTAAGATGTGATTGCCTATGACTGTTTAATCATAGTACTAAGACTATTTGATTAACCGTTCTCGCGTCGTTTCAAGAATTTTGCGATTAATCTTAACTAGTTCCAATGTGTTTAATTTACTAATTAACGTTACCGTAAATAGAAAATTGAAATATTACATATATCTATATGATACAAAATTCTATGTATATAATATATTATATACTAAAGTATATATACTAAAGTACTATATTATTGCATCACGAAGATATCTAATTCGTAGTAATTTCTGAGCCCTTTTTAAAATGAACTATCTGCTTTTGACTTTGCATCTTTAAAATGAAAGCATTTTAAAATTTCCTTCTTTGGTCGATTTATTTTTAACGATAATCCGATCTGAATAAATTAATTCGTCCTTCGTTTGCCAGAAGCTATAAACTCACGTTGTTACGCTTCAACATCGTTAGAAAAACTCAATAATCGTTCGAATGTCATTCTCTTATGTCTCTCCATTTTTTTGACGTGCATTCAAATTTTTCAAAAAGAATGCGTTTAGATTAAACCACACAGCTTCCGTCAAGATGTGATAGATTTCTTTTACGTAAGTGAACTTCTACTTAATAAGTAAATAACTTAAGAATGTTATATTCAAACATTCAAGTAAAAGGTATTACATTTTTATCATAAATGTTTTCGTTACGTGCATTTGAAGAATTATTTCCAAAAATAATAATATATATATATATATATATATATATAGTTCGTCTAGAATTCCATAATTGAAAATCAATCCATGTAATTATTAAATAATTATTAAAAAAGTGTTTCATGTAATTAATAAAGAATCGCGTTTTATAGTGAAAAACAATTGTAATGATCTATTATTTTGAAGTTATTAACACTAGTTATATTATTTTGCAGATCAGTGACTATTTGATGTTTTGAAAACGATCAACATGAAGTATTTGAAGTTTGTTCTATTTACGTTCAACTTATTGATATGGGTAAAGTATTAATTATTTAATTAATACAGATTATGTCATAGCGTGCCGATCTTGCTTATATTTTTATTCTTTTTTTTTTTATATTCGCATGAAATGAAAATAAGAATTTAAAAATACTATATGTATTTAGACTATGTTAATTATTAATGAGGATACGAGTTTATTCTTTGTTTACATCTCTGTGAGAAAATATCAAGGTTTTTTTACACAATACTAAATTATTCTTAACACATATTTTGCATTACACTGATAAGCACCGATTCTTATAGAATTTTGCGTTCTGAATACAAATATAAAAATATTTCGTTTTCTTTCTGAATACAAATATAAAAATATAACGTTTTCTTCTCTATCACTGCCAGTTTTTGAGAAAATCAATTTCTGTTATATTTATCGATTACTCGTACGAATAGGCTTAAAATTAATTTTCAAATTCTTGAGAAACTCAAATCCGAAATTTTGTAGTTGAAAGTTTCAAAACTTTTGAAACTCGAAACTACCGAGTTGAATTTGAAGTTCTGATGCTTTTAAAAGAAATGTATATTTATTTCAAGAACTGGAATTAATACTTTTACATAAATTTTTAACACTTTTTTTAACAAATTTTTATTCATAGATAAACATAAAATCCAAATCCGTATTTAAGAACATTAACATCAGAATCCTTTTTGGATCTAATCTATTGTCTTTTTGTCAACTATAATGTAGTTGCTAAGTCTTTCAAAGTATCGCGTTGATGTAATAAAATATTTTCTTAATAATTCCTTTACATTTGAATATTTTACATTCTCATTTCAGAATTACGATCGATCACACACTTGTTTATATCCTTGAAAACAAAAACCGATCACCGAGCATTCGCAGAGCATCTCACACTGAACATACGAGATATACACAGATCAAACATTTTTCACTCACGCTGCACATGATTCTTTATTGCTTTTATACTTTTTTTAATCAAAAGTTTCAAAAAGACGAAAGTTTCAAATTCGCGAAACACGAGACTTTATCGAATTTCAAGATTTTGAAAGGTTTCAAGATTTTGACGCTTCGGGTAACTCATATATAGTTGTTCCGTGGCAAAAGATGATAAATTCATATAGATTAATTTTCTAGATTAATGTTTTCAAATAAAATAGGATGTCTTTTCTCATCAGATTACCAAACACAATAAAATAAAAGAAATACAATACTAGAACTTTATTTTATTTATGTGAAATAACATTTTCTAATAAAGTAAGCTAATGCAATCACATGAATGAAAAGATACCGTTGCAGCCTCTTGCGGAAAATGTCAAGCAGCGTTAAATGTTATCTAAGGATCACTAATAATACCTTATATTTTGCGGAGTAACTCTGCGACAGAAAATAAAATTTCTATTGTAGCGTTCTGTGATGGTTTCTACGAGAGAGAATGGCGGTCTATCGCTGACAGAGTAGTAAGAGTTTCTTTTCAACCTACAGTTTTAAAATAAATTGAAAAATATTCAGAAAAATTTGTACGTTTTAGAATTCTTTCCATCTTGAGCATTTTTTATAACAATGTTTAAATGTTTAAGTACATGATGTAAAAATATATTATAATGTTTCAATGGCATAAAAATGATTGTAGTCATTTATTAGTAACACAAAAAATATTCGAAGTTTAAAATTTGCGTTTTCTTTTTTAAAAATTACTTTCTCAAACATTGACGGTTTTCATGTTTAGAAATGTTTTCTTGTTCGTCCATACGTGAAATCATTTGAAGATATTGTGGATTTGACAATTCTACATCGATAAACGTCCACAATTTTATTATTGTTAATATACTTTACATGTACAGTACTTTATGCGATTAGATTATGAAATCGACACGTAAACAACATCTGAAATAATAGCCATAGAAAAGAAGGAGCAAAATAAAAGCAAATTATTTTGCACAGGAATGATTAAATTTCATTGCATTTGCAATAGTTCGTTGCGTAGTTGCATGAAGTACCTACTTATAAGAAGTATATACTTATTGTTAGTTTCATTATGTATAGAAAAAGCTATAGAGAAAGACATTATTCAACAGTTCGCTGGATGGACAGTACTGACGATAGGAGCATGTTTACTATGCGAGCCAAGCAAAGGATACTTGTTAAACCTTTTCGTACCCAACGCCACCCCGCACGAGACTATCAACCTAATCGCTTACAGTTTGCTGGGTCTCGGTTGTACGGTGTTGACGGTCGGTTTCTTTGGATGTCGCGCTGCCCTGCATGGAAATCAATGTGTACTGGCTACCGTAAGTTATCGATAGATTCACCTGCTACATCATACTTAGAATAGATCTACCATGTATTTTTATCTGTTTAGTACATGAGCATGCTTGTGGCACTGATCGTCACCGAACTCGTCACCGCAGCTGTCGGTGGACTAATGACATTTCGAATACTTTCCGGCTTGGAGGAGCGACTGATTAACAAGTTGATTATCCATTATGGTCACGAATCAACCAGCGACATCCCTTTCAGCCATAGTCTCGACTTCGCGCAATATAAGGTGAAACAAAGAAAGCTTAAGCGTAAACATTTAGATGTTTAACCTTCTTAGTACCTTACAATTTCTTTTATATATCGTCAAAGCATTGTCGTAGAAACAGAATGTAAAAATAGATGTAAAAAGTACATACTGCTTTTCAATGGAAACATTTTGTAAAGAAAAACTGCAATACTCAAACGTGCAAATTATGTTCAAGATATTAAAATAAGACACAACTAAGGAGCAGTATTAAAAGGATTAAAATTGAAAAAAAGTCTAAAGATTTAATGCTAAATGTGGAGCATACAACAAATTAAGAATGCATTATCTTTATACACGTATAAGGTGAACCATGTAAGTTGATCACTTTGAATACTTTCGTGTGTTGAATACCTATATATTATATGTTAAGGTACAAAAAGATCTTGTTAATAAGAATTGTTTAATGTAGAGAAGGTCATAATATGACAATAATAACTTTTTTTTAGCTGAAAGAATTTCGGAGATTTCAAGGTCATCCTCATTTTTTAAAATGGAACTTTACATCTTTTTATACGCCGATCGATGCATGATTTTATCCTCTATAAAGAACTATTTTGATCTATTTATGTCGAAAAATTAGGAGATATTTTAGTTTAATTTTGTAAAATCTATGTATGAAAGTCAAGGATCAGTATGAACACAACACTATCCTTATCTTTTCTCGTTTTTCATACAGTAGAATTAAGGTTCAAATATCTTCTAACTAATATGTACATGGATTATATACTTATACTAATAATATACTTCGAAATACATAGGTTAATTCTTTTTTATGGAGAATGTTGAGCTGCATCGATTAATGGAGCAAAAAATATATCGTTCCACTTAAAAAAGTGAAGGTCACTTTGAAATAACCTTGAACTTCTTTATCTACAAAAAAAAAAAAAAAAAAAAA